ATTTTTATTTTCGGACTTGTGCAAGTGGGCAGGGGTGGAGCGAAAAAAAAAAAAAGGTAGCATTGCTGGGCCCAAGTCTTACAATGGTCAGGAAAACCCTGCTGTTTATTCTGCCATCATGTTGGCGACATTCTTATGTAAACAAATATGCACGTAAATACAACGGGCAATATCAAGGTTAGCAAAATAATTAAGGTCATGTCCATAAATCGTACGATAAGTTGATAACGTAATTATTGTGACAGGCCTGGTACTCAGTTCTGCTTTTCTGCAGCTTTCAATATACCACTAAAATACAACAAATTGCTAGCTGATTTAGAAAAATGGCAAATCACTTCCAACATTGTTTTATGTAACAGAAGTAACACTGATCTCAACCTAGAAACCACCAAAAACAAAGTTACGATCTATTCTACTGACACTCTCTTCCAACGGACTCAAAAAGCCCCCGAGTCCAAAATTGAACTCGTCTTTCAAGATGTGTTTATCACTCAAGTTGACATGACGACAATTAATAGAAACAATACATTATGCAGCCCTAGTTCTGACCATACCAAACACACCCTGATGTTTCCACGTCTTGATTATCTAGACTCCAGTGTCCAGAAGTCAGTGAAACAGTTTAGCGCTTTACATACTTAATCAGATGAACACGTGCTCTCGTCATAATCCAAACTCTTTCTGTGAAATCACTCTAAATGCTTTGGTTTAGTCACCTTGCTCCTATTAAACATCGGCACAAAGGCATGCCATTCACTTCCAACTAGCATACACAGCTAAGTTTTTACAGAATTTTATTGTTGTTGTTGGCAATTTATCAACCCCTTTAAAAATTCAATACACTGTGATTGCACTGAAACACAACCAGGTTATTTAATATCTAAATAAGGGCCAGTCTTAAACTGCAGCCTGTGAAATTGGCCCTTACATGGCCTGGGGAACAAACCTAACAAACTATAAAGTAAAATGATTGCCACTGCTCACAGTCGTAGCTTAGCCAGTGTTAATCAGTTGCTAGGTTAATGCATGAGCAGGAGGCGCTAAAACATGCACAGATTCATAGTCCTGTAATTAATGTGTCATACATTAAAGTGTCCAAGAAATGTCACGCATTGTCTTCTTGCTGGTAGCTTCCATGCTGGCATAGAGGCTGAGGCAGGGAGAGGGAGAGGGAACAGAGCGGCCGTGAGTCAGCCAGAGCCAGCCCCCTGCCTCACGCTGAAATCAGAGAAACCACAAGAATGTAACAGCTTCTGTTATTATCCCTCCCTGCTGCCTCGCTGCCTGATAGCCTGCCCCAGAAAATAGCAGCAAGGCTGTCTGTTTCTCCCTCTCTTTCCCTCTTTCCCTCTCTC